GTAAGGGAAAGACCCCAGAATTCCAAGTACAGAGAGCCTGTGGTATGTTTCCCTTTCCCCGCCTCCAGTGTTGTGCTGCCTGGACTCAAGGCAGCCTGGAACCCAGAACTGGGCACAAGGCTGCTGAATGTCACCCCAGGAGAGGAAAAGGGGACCCCTCATGCTCAGAGAGAGAGGTCAATCCCTGTTTTTCTTTTCTCCATCCTGTCATGCCTCGGCCCCCAAAGGATTCAGTGGTAGCAGGAGGTGCAGGGGCATGGGGGCAGGGGTTTGATAGTGGAGGGCCTCAGTCACTCAAAACTTTGAGAAAAGGGGTCTTTCCTTTTGGATCCGAGGAGTTGCAGGCCCCAGAGAGTGGAGAAAACTCTCATTGCTTTTTCTATCCCCAGGGCCTCCTGCTACTTGGCCCCCAAAAGTGGGTGCACGACAAAGCAGGGGGACTAAAGCCCCAGCTCTCTGGCCAAAGGACTGTAAAAGGGAATCCCAGCAATCTAGAAGAACTGGGGGAACAGAGGAGAGGGAAGAGCTCTGAGAACAACCATAACGTTGTTTAGAGCTCCTGGGCTCATCCCTGAGGCTTCCCTGGGGGTCTGACCCTTATCAGCATGCCTTCTGCTGTTTGAGCCGAAGGCCAGGGTGGACCATGGCCTCCATCCCAGATGGCCACTGGGGGGGCGCACATGGGCAGTCGACCGGTACAATCTGAGGACAGCCCCCCCTGGGAATTCTAGTCCCAGAAGGCTGGAGGAGGGAATGTGACATCTGAACTGAACCACCTACTGTGTCAGTCATCAACGTAGTGCCTCTTGGCTCTGAACAGAGCCTTCAACGTCTGTGCTGTATGACACACTGTGTTGTTCCTTGAAGTACTTGTCCTTTAAAGTGAACAACCCGTTCAGCTTTCTCAGGGGATAGCACTAGAGGGACAGTACGGTGGAAGGAGTTCTCCTTCCTGTTCCGGTGTGGGCAGGAGGGGGCCAGCAGGGGTCTGGGTACACGAGCTGGCCCCAGCCCCAGGCCCAGAACCTGTCCTTTGCAAATGGACAGCCCTGGCTAGCAAGAAGCTTTCTGCAGTGCTCTCCACCTAGAAAACAGAGCCCTCGTGGAGCCCCTGTGCTCTGAAGGCTTCCTACGACCCTGGACCCACACTGCATATGTCTGCACTCCTGGTGGCTGGTCAGGTGGCCTTCCACCCTGGGGGCGGTGGGGGGCGTGGTCTGTCAGTTGCCCAGCGAGAGAGACCAGCCTGACTAAACCAGAGGATTACCCTGCTGTCTACCGCACTGAGCTGCAACTTCTAAAACGAGGTCGGAAGCCCTTCCAAGTTTGTCCTTTCTGGAGTCCTCTCCCTCGGCCCTCAGGTGTGAATGGAAAGAGAAAGGACCAACAAGAAGTCGGAGATAAAAAGAACTAAATGGCAACTTTAGAAATAAAATAGACAATCCCTAAAATAAAATACTCCCTGGATAGACTCATAAACATAATGGAGATGATGTGGGGAAGGTGTGGGACATTTGAAGATGGATTGCTGGATATTAAAAATCTGAAAAAAGAGAGGAAAAGAGATGTCTAAAAAAGCCAACATCTTCAAGAATCTACAAAATGATACTGAAAGGGCTAATATTTGTTTTGTCTGAGTCCCAGAAGAGGGGAGGAAGAGGGCAGTGCAGAAAAAAAAAATAGTTGGAGAAAAAAAGATGGCTGAAAAATCCCCAAATTTGGCAAAATATAAAACCTCCTGACCAGAGGAGCTAAGGAAATCCCACACGGGATAAACCCAAAGAAACCCATGCCCAGATTTGTCATAATTAAACAGGAAACCCAAAGACAAGGAATAATTCTCAACAAGTCGTGGGAGAAACGTGACGTGTCACCTTGACGAGACTTATGATTCCAACTACTGCACCTTTCTCGTGGGAAACCATGGAGTCCAGAAGAAACGGGCAGTGTCTATAAAGTTTTGAAAAGAATTACCTCAGGATTCGCTATCCAGCAAAATCCATCTTCAGGAGTGAAGGTAGAAAAAAAAAAGGAAAAGAGGAAAAAGAAAAAAAAAGGAGTGAAGATGAAAAGAAGATATTCAGGTGAAGGGGAACAGAGGTTTTGTCAGCTGAGGTCTCTGTCCGAGGGGACTATTTGGGGGAGTTGTTAGGGCAGAAGGGAAATGCCACCAGAGGGGACATGGAACAATAGGAATGAGGGAGGAGCCACAGATACGGTCCGTATCAGGGTAGATGTGATGGGCTAGCGTCCTCCTCGTGAGTTCTTTAAAAACATTTCAGGATTGGAAGCCCAGAATAGAACACTGACAGATTCAGTGCGTGGGACAATGGCAGCACCGAAGCGAGAGCCTAAGCGACCTAGGTGGTAGTAGGTTTCCACGTCTCACTCCAAGGGGTAAAATATTGTTTCTGATGGACCATGAGAAGTGAAGCCAGGAGCTTATCCTCCCTAGGGCAACCATGAAAAGAGAAAGACTCCACTGAGAAACAGAGTCCAAAACATAGTAGAGAAAATAAATTGAATACTAAAAAGATGTTCAGATAAACACAAAAGGAGGCTGGAAAGTGTAAAGAGAAAACAAAAGAGGAGTCCAGCAGAAAATGGGTAATAAGTGAATTTAGACCTAAATGCAAAGTATCGGTAATTATGGTTAATGTAAATTGCCCAAATACACCAATTAAAAGATGTTGGAATGTGTGAAATAAATGACCCAACAAGATTCTGTCAACAGGGGCTCCAGGCTGTATATGACTATTGATCTCAGGGTTATGAGTTCAAGCCCCACACTGAGTATGGAGCCTACTTAAAAAAAAAAAAGTAAAAGGTCTGTCTACAAAATCTCACACCAAATATAACCATGTAATTAGGTTAAAAATAAAAGGATGGAATTGAAGAACATTTGCGAATCAGGTATCAGACAAAAGACCCGTGCTTAGGACATAGAAAGAACTATTTCGAGTCAACGATTAAAAAGACAAATGGCCCAATTTAAAACTTGGCAAAGGATCTGGATAGACATTTCTCCCAAGAAGGTATAAAAATGGTCAATAAGTACATAAAAAGATGTTCAGTCAACCTCATTAGCTGTCAGGGAAATGCAAATCGAAACCACTAGAGACCACTGCCCCCACCTACTGGGACGGCCATGGTGG